TTCACTCTCCCGGGCCTGAGCAATCAGGACAGCTACATCACAGCCCCAGGCACTCGGGGGATATGTGAGGCAGTAGGAATTGCTTGGTGGACCTCGGAGCCCTGGCTGTCTCCTGACCTCCTCTGTGCTCAGCTGCCCCTTGACCGCACCCCACCAGGAGCGGTCCCCTGCCCTGCTGAGGCCCCAGGTTCTAGTTCACGGGATGAACAGGAAGTGGTGACAGGAAATGGTGATAACATGCCCAGCTTTGCCGCAGCTGAGAGACTTTGGCTTCATTGTAACACACCTTTGAGAGCTAGCTTTCAGGACCTCACGGATGGCTCCTCACTGTCAGGCTTCAAACCCCTGCCCTGGGAGTAATATGCAGGGATCCCCTGTGTGGCTAACTGAGCCATCCTGGAGCCAGACTCAGATTGTAGCTGGCGTGGGCGTCCGAGTCCACACCGCAGGGCGGAGCCTGTTGGCTCTGCAGTTGGGGCACCGTCTGTCCACTTCCTGTGCAGGAGTGAGATGAAACGCTGGATGACTTCACTGGCCCCCAACAGGAGGACCAAGTTCGTGTCCTTCACATCCCGGCTGCTGGGTGAGTCCATGACTTAGAAAGGGGGCTCTCGGTTGGCTTTGGCTTAGACTCACTGGGCCTCAGCTTCAGGGTTCCTTGATTGCTTGTAGGACGGCACTTCTACCCCCACACAAGTCCATCTTGGCACCAGCCAGGAGCTCAGTGCCTGTCTACACTGGCTGCCTAAGCTTCATTCAAACTGGATGGTTAAGGAAGAAATGGAAGTCCCCGAGTCTTAAGAGTCAGGTGGCAGGATATTGGACCCAAACTCCAGGGTTCTTTTGGCTTTTCCAGTTGTCCAAAACGCATAGACAACCTAAGGGAGCATGAGCCTGGCTTCCTTGTGAAGAAGTCACTGTCCCAGCCCGCTGGCCTGTCCTCACCCCAAGCTGTTTACTGGGTCACACCTGAGAACAAGAGGTTCTCCCTTCCTTGTAGGCTGAGAGCCCCATCATAGCTAGTGAATTCTTGCCTCCCTCTGCCTAGCGTTCCTGGTGCCTAACATGGCTCCCTAGGATGCGAGCTCCTCCCGCTCAGGGGGGACCCTTCTCTGATGTGTCCTGCCAGGTCCTAGCTAGGACTCAGCCCCTGCTGCTGGCTGCTTGGTCCCCAGCACGGCTGTCTGTTGTCCCTGCTTGTCTGGATGTGGGGCAGGGTGGGACCTGGGATGGGGACACACCGTACCACTCTCCCATCCTGCAGACTGTCCCCAGGTCCAGTGTGTGCACCCGTATGTGGCCCAGCAGCCTGATGAGCTGACGCTGGAGCTGGCAGACATCCTGAACATCCTGGAGAAGACGGAAGACGGTGAGGCCCCCAGGGGACTCGGCCGCTCGGCCAACCATGTCCCTCTCCGGGGAGGAGGGACTATAGCCTGGGTGTAAGACCAGATGGCACAGTTGGCAGGTGGGCAGGCAGAGCCCAGCATCCTTGCTGGCGCTGGCACTACCCAGGACATCCTGCCTGAGCACTGGGACCTTCATTCCATCCTGTGAGCTGCAATGCCCCTTCCCCTTCCAGCAGGCCTCGCGGGTGGTTCTCTGTCTCTGTCCCAGCCTCACCTATGGCCTCAGCCCTCCCCTAAGAGGGGGCTTGACCCTGAGCTCAGCCTGTTTGGCCACAAGCTTCTGGGGACACTTGTGACCACCAGGCTAAGAAGCCCTGTTCCTGCCCACCCTGTAGGTTGCCTGTAGAATTGGCTCCAAACGGAGTTGTTCTGTAGCCCCGACCAATTGAATCCCTATGTAACCAGTGTGGCTCCCTTTCTTGTTCAGTAGTCTCCACGTTCGTATATTAGCTGTTCCTGATCAAGATCCCAGGAGTAGCTGTGGATGATGGCACACATCTCTAATTCCATCATTCAGGAGGCAGAGGCAGGAGGATCCCTGAAACTTTATGAGTGGCGTGGGCACAGTGTGAGATGCCAGTGTCGTTACAACAGAGACAATCAAAATACCAGAGGAGAAAAAAGGATCCTTCCTGTTCCCTCCTTTGTTCCAGTTCATGAGTGGAAAACCAAGTGATCTCCACAGCACCCCTCTGGGGGTCTCAGGGACCCCCCGCCCTTTCCCAGCATAATCCACGGCCTCACACCCCTCCCATGGTAGCCTGCAGAAGGCACTCCTCGGACCTGGGTAGGGACAGGCTGTTTAGCAGCAAACCTGCAAAGACTTCTAGGAGAGGAGAGAGAGCAGAGAAAAGAGGTCGGAGTGCTTGGGGACTCAGAGTGTCCCCAGTTTATAATGGCCACCTCCCAGCAACCGGGTGAGATTCTGAGAGAATGTGCCCAATAAGATGGTAAGCTCACTGTCCAGGTTTGGGGGTCAGCTGTCTCCTACACTGACCCCCTGGATGCCTTGTAGGGGTGGCCCTTCAAGTCTCCTGTCCTGGTATGGGGCAGCCTTGGAAGGTTCAGAAATAGGCAGCCCCTCGGGGGAAGCCTGGAGCCTGGTTCTTCACACTCCGTGGGCTTCTTAGCACACTGTAGGGGCAGTCCAAGCTTAGGTGGGGTGCCAAGCCACTGCCCTTTGGGAAATGCTGAAATCTTGAGTATGGCTCAGTCCTTGCTTCCCATACAGAGTGGAGCCCTAGCCAGGGAAGGCCCAGCCTTGCCTCACCTTGACCCTGTTGCCTCCTTTGCAGGGTGGATCTTTGGTGAGCGCCTGCATGACCAGGAGAGAGGCTGGTTCCCAAGTTCCATGACAGAGGAGATCTTGAACCCCAAGATCCGCTCCCAGAACCTCAAGGAATGTTTCCGAGTACATAAGATGGAGGACCCTCAGCGCAGTCAGAATAAGGACCGCAGGAAGTTGGGCAGCCGGAATCGGCAATGAACCCTAGCTCAGGCACCAGTCTGAAGGAGGGGTGTGGGCAGGGGGTGGGGGAACAGGCCCAGCAGAGAACCCTGACAGACACAGAGTCTTAGGGAGGAAAGGTCAGTGCCTTCCCAGGCAGCAAGAGTGGCTTGGGCCTGCACTGCCCCTGCCCACACAGTGGGGGCCCTCGTGTCCTGGCCATTCACATGCGTACACACTGGCCAAAGGCTAAGTATTTAAGCAGTATTACACCACCTCCTCTCCAGCATCTCAGAGCTAGAAGAGAGTGGGCATGCTCCAGTGACCTTCCAGCAGCTGGAAGAGGCCCACACAGGGGGTCCTGGCAGGAGGTAACCGCCGCTGTCAGGTCCCTGAACTGCACGCGTCCTTCCCTCTTTGGAAGCGTTAAGAGTCTACCAGGCACACCAATGGGCCGCCCCTGCCTGAGGGAGCGTGGTGAGCAGCGCTGACTCTGCCCGCCCTGCCCCGTGCCTCTGCCAGCCCCTCTTGCACGGCCAAGCCCTGCCCTCAGCAGGCCTCCCGGAGCTTGGCTGAGGGTTCATGCCTCTGGCTCCTTGCAGGGCCAGATGTCACTTGTATCTCCTGGCCCCTGAAGGAGCCCAGGTGTTTTGCAGAATGAATGAATTGGTCACTGCATCCTTTATGGTCATGGTTTTGAGAAAAGCAAATATCATTTTTGGCTGCATTAAAAGCATCCTGTATAAAATAAGGGGTGGAGGCCTATTCTTTATCACCCTGATGCACACAGCAATGAGGCATTTGGTTCTGGGTTGGGAGGGAGGAGCAGTCTTCTAGGCCAGTAGGAGAAACCTCTCCCCAAGGAGGAGCTGCCAACACTTCCGAGGGAGCAGCTAACATCAGGTCTCAGAATGGGGATGGATTTGGCCTCTGCTCACAGAGGGACTCAGGAAAGGGCTCTCAGAGAGAATGGGGGACTCTTCCCGCTGCAGCGTAAGTACACATTTACGCCACAGGGACCCTCAGGTATCAGTAAGCAGTGGCCCTTCAGAGGATCTGACTCTAAGCCTGGGACCCAGGCTCCCTACCTGGTCCAGACACTGGCCTCGGATGTTCCTCTGTGCCTTCAGTGGCAGCTGGTTCCTCAAGACCTGCTGCTCCTACCCAGGCCTGCAGACCCACCCATGCTTATCCCTCTTTCTATCCCAGAGTGTCCACCCCACTTCTGTCCTGGGGAAGTGTCTGGTGCAGTGTGCATCTGCCAGAAGATGTTCTACGTCAGAACAGACCTTCTGTTGGTTTTGTTTCTTGAGACCACCTCCCAGTATAGCCCAGATTGGCCTTAAACGCACAGTCCCACCTTGGCCTGCTAAGTACTGGTATTTCAGGCATGTGTCACCATGCTCGACCCAGAACAGGCCTTGAGTTTGAGCCGCTGGGCTTTGTGGTATCTTCCCGCATGTCACAGACCCTCCAGCATTCCTGCAAGGAGATGACCCCTTGCCACACTGCACCTAGAGGGCTGTAGCTCCTACCCTGGCCTACCAGACCCTCTCATCGCCACTTCACCCCTCCCCCAGTCTATCCTAGAGTGCTCCCCAACTTCTGGGTCAGCTGGAAAAGGAACAGTCCCAGGGAGAACATTTACACAAACCCCAGGTCCCAGGAATGTGTGCAGTGGGAGACAGGAAAATTCTGAGCCTCGCCGGGAGGGGTGAAGACATAGGATTGGGATATGGCCCCTCCCGCCTGAGTCAAGGTCAAAAGCCTTTGCTACCCCATCCAGTGCCAGTCCTCCACCATTTCCCAGTTGGCCTCAAGAAACAGGATGAACCTGGGTCAAGCTCTGCTTCCCTGCCCCCAGTCCCCCCCAGGCTGAAGCACAAGGAGCCAGGAGTCCGTGGCCCCCGGTCCCCCGCCGCCAGCGCTTCCTTGGAAAGTAGAAACCGGAGCTCCCCGTGCCCCGCGTGCACTTCTGGCACAACACACGCACGTGGCCACGCGTGCACATGTTCCCTTTCCACCCACCGCTCCCGGCACACGGCGCGGCCCAGCAACACGCCCCCGTCTCCGTTCACATGCCGCTGACACCTGCACGCGGGCTCGCACACGCGGGGACACAGAGGGACAAAGGGGAGCACAGGTTGCAGAGTCGCCGCGGGCGGGCGGGCCGGCGTGGCTCCTTTATTGACTTCAAGAGGCGGAAAACTTTCTCAGCGCGACCACCACGAGTGCCAGCACCACGCAGGTGGCCAGCAGGGCTGCGATCACGATGGCCGCAATGGCGCCGGGCCCGAGCGATCCTGTGGAGGACAGAGGAGCGAGTCATCCCCGAGTCCAGCCCAAGCCTAGCCCTTCCTGCAGTTCTCCCTGCCCCGCCCCGGCCCTACCTCCGTCCTGGTCCACACCTGCAGGAGGGGTGTTGTCCTCTGGTCCTGGGGCAGAGGTGGGGAACGGCGGGCCCGAGGCTGCAAGTTCCTGGCTGTAGCTGGTGCTCTCCAAGGGACCTTCACCCGACGGCAATTCAATGGGCTCGTTCCACAGGGTGGGACTGGGCTCCTGGGGACCCTCTGCTGTAAAGTCAATGACGGGCACGGGGGCTCAGGGGACCCGGTCTGCTGACAGGGATGCCTTGTGAAGAACTCGTGCCTAGTTCTACACCAGCGCCCACATTTCACAGGGTGAGGCACCTGGCTGGGAAATTCACTCCTAAGTTTGGGAGACCATCCACGTGTGACTCAGAACACCCACTGAGCGTTAAGGTCACAGGAGGACAGATGGATCCGTGCAGAGAGACAGGGACAGTTACAAAATGGGGACTCCTCTGTCCCTCGGGGCAGACACAGCTCAGTCTTCACCTGGGGCAAAGGCTGAGAGTCTAGGACCTTTGAGGGTACCACTCCTCAAAGACCAGAAGTCCACTCAGCCTCAGATCAGGAGAGACAGCCTTGGACATCTAACAGCCCCTCCCCCAAGCCAAGGCCAGCACAGTTCTGCCTGCAGGAAGGAGGGACCATGAAGGGAAGGTGGGGAGGTCCCCACACCTCACCAGCCTCAGTCTGCACATGGGTCCCTGGGTGGCCTTCTTACCAGGAATCCTCTGCCTCGGGGGCTGGGAGTCAGCATGATTTGGGGGTACCCAGGGATCCCAGAGGGAAGGAAGGAGACAGGGGGCGCAGGATGGATGAGTCAAGGGATGCTTCCACCTGCTGCAGCCCTATTGTCCCCCAGCACACGTCACTGTGGGGAGCACAGCCCGTGAAGTCCAGAGCACCATACACCCTTTGGCCAACCTCCTCCCCAAGACAGAAGTTCAAGACCAGGCTGGTGACCGGGCTCTAAGATTTCCCCTCAGCCTGCCCTCCTGGCATCTCAGCTGATCCCTGCCCATGCCCTGATCCCAACTGGGAAGGCAAGTGATCCAGGAACACTCAGTTCCCAAACGAGTCCTCACACAGGCCCGGTGGATATCACTCCATCTCACCAATTCCAGCTGCTTGTGGCACAGGGGACCATTTTGTCCCTAGTGAGAGACGAGAAAGGCAAAGGCACGGGCTAGGTGGAGACAGCCCCGGTGGTCCAGAGCCCTGGGCAGGGTGGTGACGGCTGTGTCTCCTGGCAGACCCCCAGTAAGACTGCACCTCTGTTACCAGCAGGTCCCCAAGGTTTCCTCTGAGCCAAGGACTCCATCTTGAGTGCCCTTCTCCCTCTGTGGATAGGCTCAGGATAGCAAGTGCTCAGGGGAGAACCAAGGGACTTGTGTGTTTCTGCCCACAGTGCCCACCCGGGGCAAACAGAACACACAGCCAAAAGCCTGACTCCAGTCAGCCTCAAAATAACCAGGCCCTTCAAAACCATCAGGGTCTGGGAAGGGAGGAGAATTTGTGAGGATCTGTGAGGATTTGTTCTGGACCAGGACAGGGGAGCGGTCATAGGCCCTGTCAGAGACTCTGGGTAAGGCTGGCGAGCACCGTGCCGGGGTTCCCATCCCGGTTTGATGCCACTTTCTGGTTGGGAAAGAGAATGTCTTTGTTCTTAACTGAGAACTCAGGATGAATGGTGTTGGCAACGTTGGACTGCTTCTGCGTTTGTGGTCAAGGAGCAGTGTGGCAAAGGCTGGTAACTGGTAACTAGGTAAAGGCTGTGCTGGGGTTTGGTAGATAATTTTTCAGCTCTTTTTTTTTTTTTTTTTTTTTTAACACTGGAATCTTTTCACTGTAAGATTTTAGCAGACCCCTGACTCCCTAGGCTCTACCCTGATACCTCTCACAAGCCTGGGCCAAACTTGAGACTCAACTTGTAGGCAGGGACTACTGCCATGTGCCCCGCAGTTTCCCCAGACTAGGGCCCTTTTCAGAAAAGCCTGGCGAAAGGCCTCCCAAGACTGCTGCTGCTGCCCACTTCAGGAGGCTTCCTTCTCATTGGGATCAGGCTGGTGCCCAGACCAGCCTCCCACTAACGGTGAAAAGCACTCTGTGAAGAGGGCAGAGTGACCTGGTCAGAGAAGGCAGTGTTTATAGCCTAAGAGCCCTGATGAAAGACTTCGGGCCTCAAGCAGTCTAGCCCCAGGCTCCCAGGGCTGGACAGAGAAAAACTCTGAACATGCCTGCCATGCTCCAAGCCCTGAGGTCTGGGCTTCGTAGACTGCCAGTCTGACCTGAGACTCTTCAGGACACACCCAAAACAGGCAGGCCGGCAGGCCTCTCCCTCTCCCATCTCTCCTGGCCAAAGCTCACCTCCAATGCCAGGGAAGCTGCCCAAGGATTCTGAGTCCCAGGCCCAGCCCGCCTAAGTGGTGCCTGTTCCCTGGCCAGGGACTGAGCTTGCCCCAACCCACCAAAGAAGGAGGTGTTTCTGGGGCCGTAGTCCAGGCCTTATCTTGTCTTCTTACGCACTCGATGTTCTCCAGACTCGGAACAGTAAGGAGGAGCAACAAGCCAGCTCCCTCCAAGTCCCCTGGGGAAGCCAGGAACCATGGGTCAGTGTGACAGCGGGACAGGAGTGAGGATGAGAAGAAGGGGGGTCAGTGCAGGGCCCCAGGAGCAGGATGTGGAGGAAGCAGGCTGACTGACAGCCAGCAAGGACAAGGGAGACACAGCAGGGGTCTCCTGAGAAGGTTCTGCCCGACTCGGCCCCTAGGAGACCCACCGCAACAGTGAGCACCGTCCCGGGCCTTTCTGCTCTGGCAGAAGCGCATGGTGTCAGTGCCACAGGCTTGGACACCTCAGCTGTCCCCTCGCCCCACCACCCCAAGCTGCTCTGCCTTTTGGTAAATAAGTCTGTTCAACGGTTAGTCTGACCACAGGCCCCGAGGCCAGGCGCCCGTGCTCACAGACGGCCTTTGTGTGGCCATGAAGAGCCTTTTCATCCCCACCCTGGCCTCCTGCCCGCTCAACCTGGCCTGCTCCCCTACCTCAGTGGCTGTGGCCACCGGCTGAGGCAGAGAGGGTGGCAGCCTGGCCTGTGCCTCAACTCCAGGAGAGCTCCATCTCCTCTTTCCTGCTACAGGCCTACAGCCCAGGAGAGAGACAGGGGCCATGGACCTTGTACACACCTGCTGAGACCTTCGGGTCCAGGACTGGTTCTGAGAACCTCCTATCTCCCGGTTCCCAGAACAGTCAGAACCCCAAGACTCAGCTGGCGTGCCATGCTACTGTAGGCCTGCCTGTTCTTGGGGTTGGGGGGGCACCCACGGAAGGGAGAGGGAGGTGAGGTCCGGGCAGGTCCTGATTATCCTCAAAGCTTCTGTGGGAGCAGAAAGCCCACCCACCAAAGTTGTGTGTGCACAGCCTGACTAGGGGCTCTGGCTAGAAGCTTGAGCTGGAAGAGGCATCAGGGACCCGGGCAGGAGCCGCTCGGAAGGCCCAAGCTGCAGGGCTTTGCCAAGCAACTGCCTCACTGTGGCAGGAAGCTGCGTGGGTCTCAGCCCTGGGTCCTCGGTGATGGAAAATGCCTCCCAGCATTGTAAGTCACGTGTCCCAACATCAGGGGGACCTCAGCCTTACATCACTGAACACTGCTCAAACCCACCCCCCAAAACTGGGTGTGCCCAACCTGTGGGAAGAGATGGTTCTCCCCCAGACCCCTCTGAGTTGGGAACTCTACTCAAATTCTGAAGACAGATTGAGTGTTGACTGGGTACTTGGCCACCCTGAGAGCCCTGCATGCCAGACCTGGTGAGGTCTCACCATCTGCCTGTGAGGGAGGCAGGGTAGTGAGGGTCACCCCCTGCAGATGAGGAAAGGGCCAGGAGAGGCCTGGGACAGGCAGGCCAGAGCCTGGCCTTAAGCTGCTTCCTAAGGATGTCGGGGGGAGAGGAAAAGCCCACAGACCACCATCACCTCCCAGAGTGTGCCTGGGAGTTCCTAGGCCTTGCTTTCACAACAGAGGTGACTTCTCTCCTCTGGAGATCTGTAGACACCCCTAAAGTTCAGGCTGCAATGTTGTAAGACAATCGGGGAACCCAGAGGCAAGCTGCCCTTCTGCTGACTACTGAACAGCCGCGGAAGACTTATTCTCGCGTAGAGCAAAGCCTGCCTGTGCCTACGTCCCTGCTCTGAAGCTGACCTGGAACAGCCCCGCCACGCGGCCTCTCTCATCAGACCCCCGACGTAGCCATCCAGGTCTCAATGCAGTGCCCTCGCCATTCTGCAAAGGACTCGGAGATCTATCCGCCTCTGTGGTGACAGCACCCAGGTCACAAGCCAGCAGGGAAGGGGTTGCGGAATTTAAAAGAATTCCGAGTCACTGGGTTTTCTGTCCAGCATCTGGGGCTCTGGCCTCTTAGCCCTTTGCCCTTTGTCTGATGAGCCCTCCTACCTCCCAGATACAGAAGCCTCCAGAAGTTCTAGTGATAAAACCCCCAGAACTCCAGACAACCACACGTCCTCGGCTCCGACACCCTGGTCGCCCTCCTATGTCAATGGTCTCCCACCCTGCTGCTAACAGTTCCCTGACACATCATCTTATTCGGCTTCTACCAGCCAGCACTGTGGGAGCCCCCCGGCCCCAGAATCACCACGGCTGGGCATCCTGCCTCTTGTGAGGGGCTTATGCCCTGTAGATATACTGAGAATCTGGTCCCACTGGTAATCGTTGGCCCTGAGAAGTTGGTGGCAGCAGAGCCAACAGCCTGTGCCTCTTACCTGTGAGCACCGCAGGGACTAGGACCCCAGAGATGAGCAGCAGCGCCATGTGCAGGGCCAGACAAGATGCCATCCTGGCGGTGAGTGAACAGTGTGCGGGACACAGAGGACTAAACGGCTGGGCTCAGGCAGCAGCAAAGAGGCTTCAAAGAGCTGGGAAGGGTTTTCATCAATGCAAAGTCTGTCCTCCTGGGACGCCGTGCCCGCCCCCCACACATGCACACACAGGCGGGGCAGGGGGGGAGAGAGAGAGAGAGAGAGAGAGAGAGAGAGAGAGAG